ATTATTATTTTATCCTGAAGCATTCTTAGGACCTGGTGCTCCAGAACTCTCTGAAGATGCTGTCCATCGAAATAATTAAAACCATAATTGCCTGTAGATAATTCCCAACAAAGACGTAACATTTGCATTATAAAATGTTTATTTAAGTCGACTTCATTCCTGGAAGTATTTTTAGGACCTAGTGCTCCCAAACTCTTTGAAGATGATGTCCACCGAATTAATTATATTCTGGTATGTTTCGATTTTGTAATATGTCTTTTGAGATGTATCCTCTATTTTGGAAGAAAAACAGTTTTAGCACCTAATCACCACAATTGCCTGAAGATGATTCCCAACAAAGACGTAACATTTGAAATGTAAAATGTTCATTTACGTGAACGTCATTTTTATTTTCTTTGATAAAATTTTTAGGACCTGGTGCTCTACCCTTTGAAGATGGCGCCCACCGAAATAATTATAATCTGTGTCTTTTACTCTTTAAGGTTTTAGGACTCAAAATAAGTACCATTTGACTCCCATATCTTCACGATATCGCATGTTCAATTTGAGTGTAGAACTATTTATTTATAGTCCTAGAATCAACCCCTTCGAAAATTCGACCTGGACTGGTATGTGCTCAGTAGTACCATTGTTACCAAAATATAAATATTTACCATTCCTTATAAAACACCCTGTATACAATACGAAGCATTTTGAATTATAAACGACCTGACTAAATAATACGATAAGTGCAAATAAAATAACGTTGGATTTTTCCAGGATATTTTCTTATGGTGGGTTTTTCGAGGAGTTAGCGCGTAACCACCATAATTTAGATAAACTTCGAATGTGTCGATACCGCACACTCACTCGTAGTCGTTGAGCTGATGCGATGATTATTTGCGGTATTTTCTTCATAAACAACAAAAAGCATTTATCGCCGGTTGCACCATTGTCGATCGCATTCAATCGTACGGAAAATTTTTGTTTGCCAGTCGACGATAGAACCGAGGCTGCGAGACAAGTATCGCGGCTCGTTTCGAGTTTTGGTATTCACAAATCGTCAATAATTATTTTATTATTCTATCTATCTACAGATAAATGTTTAACAAGGACGACCCTGTTTTTACGATGATTTTTATTACGGAAGATAATACATAATATCGAACAAAATTCATACAAAAGTTCGTTACTGATCTTGCAGTTAACCCAATATTTCCATAAATGTCTAAAAAACAAGAAAAGGAACAAAACATACGGACTTCCTCATGGATCTCCTCTTAGCCCCATCTTGTTCAATCTCTATATGTTATCTTTATTCAATATTATACCAAAAACCTTTAAATTAATCCAATACGCGGATGACATTGTAATTTTGGTTAGTGGTGCATCTAGATATTTTATTTGGGGGCGTAAAGATTTTTAGTATGACATTTTATACAACAAATGAGAAAGAAGACATTTAGAAAATAAATTCGCAAGTTCCGCGCATCAGAACTGCATCTACCACGCTGCCATTTTCTTAGGGTCACTTTACGAAAAGTCAAGCATTGTGCTGTTATTTCCAATGCTTTTTGTGGTAGTCTTTTGCTAGTGTTGTATCCAGACAGTTGTCAGTTGAGTTATTGAAAAGTTATACATTTTAATAAAATGTTTTGTACAAAAATAATAATAAAATTATTTAAAACCTTATATATCATTACCATTGGTTCATTTGTGAACACATTTCATAAAAAAAACATTATTTAAAAAAAAATAACAAATAAATAATTTCAATTTTAATAATTTTATTGTTTTGAGACGTGTTAATCTCTATTTCTTGGTACGCCACTGCGCTCTGGCTAGTCGCGTCTCTGTGGTGCACTATTCTGAGTGGGCGCGAGGGAGAGAGAGGTTTTCGCGAAAGTATGTATCTAAAAAGAGAGGTCAACACGTCAACAGATCTGTTAAACTGTGAAGAGTATAATTTAGAATACCAAGCATTATATATCTTCATTCTAGTTTTTATCTGTGCAATGTTATGTAGGTATAAACATTTAAATTCATTTGTGTTGTTTGCCAAAAAGAGGTATTTAAAAAATATTTTATTTGACATATGTGACAAATTGTAAAAATGAATAAATTTACAATAAAAACTGAAAAATGGTAGATAAAGTTTCATATAATAATATTTTTTACTCAAAAATTCATGTCAAGCTTTCTACATGACCTGATATATATTCAAAAATAATCTCATAAAAACAAATAAAAACAAATAAAAACAAATAAAAACAAATAAAAACAAATAAAAAGAAATAAAAACAAATAAAAACAAATAATAACAAATAAAAACAAATAAAAACAAATAAAAACAAATAAAAACAAATAAAAACAAATAAAAACAAATAAAAACAAATAAAAACAAATAAAAACAAATAAAAACAAATAAAAACAAATAAAAACAAATAAAAACAAATAAAAACAAATAAAAACAAATAAAAACAAATAAAAACAAATAAAAACAAATAAAAACAAATAAAAACAAATAAAAACAAATAAAAACAAATAAAAACAAATAAAAACAAATAAAAACAAATAAAAACAAATAAAAACAAATAAAAACAAATAAAAACAAATAAAAACAAATAAAAACAAATAAAAACAAATAAAAACAAATAAAAACAAATAAAAACAAATAAATACAAATAAAAACAAATAAAAACAATTAAAAACAAATAAAAACAAATAAAAACAAATAAAAACAAATAAAAACAAATAAAAACAAATAAAAACAAATAAAAACAAATAAAAACAAATAAAAACAAATAAAAACAAATAAAAACAAATAAAAACAAATAAAAACAAATAAAAACAAATAAAAACAAATAAAAACAAATAAAAACAAATAAAAACAAATAAAAACAAATAAAAACAAATAAAAACAAATAAAAACAAATAAAAACAAATAAAAACAAATAAAAACAAATAAAAACAAATAAAAACAAATAAAAACAAATAAAAACAAATAAAAACAAATAAAAACAAATAAAAACAAATAAAAACAAATAAAAACAAATAAAAACAAATATTAAACTAAAAACCCATCGGGTGAAATTTCCCATTTTAAGCATTCCTATTATTAATAAATAATAAAATTATTGTTCCAGGTTTTAATGAATAAAATAAATAGTACTTGCTATCTAAACTCCAACTGAATGTGCTGACTACGTTCCTGTATAATTATGGCGATAAAATAACTCCAGAAAAATTACTCCGGATGCGATAATTACCTCGTTCTCATACAAAAAAAACTCAGAAAATGTGGAAACACCGCTTCATCAAAACAGGTATCTCTATGCATACAGTGTGATTCAAAAACAACGTCACAATTGTTAATGATTTGCGAGAAACATTTTATTTTTTATAAAAGTTTGCTTTTACACTAGAACTAAAAGTATACCACGAAGATTTGGAAAAATGTGACTAAACTTCATAAATAAAAAATTACAAGGGTTCAAGAACAGTTTTGCTTCGAAAATAATAAAAAATTAAGATGACAATTGAATATACAAGTGGGTAAAGGTTTCATGTTACTTTTTTTAAATTATTTTTTTGGTCTAATATACTTAAAAATGTATACTATATTTTTTTGTTTGTGATAGTTCTGATTTTCAATTTTGATAAATAACGGTTATTCATCACATAGGAAGGTATCATACCTAATACAATTTTAAAATTATTTCTTTCGAAATAATTTTTTTGTGACATGACACTTTTATATTCTTGTGCCTTCAGTTGTTTCTGTCGATAGACTAGACCTGTCAAATTTAACATATTTTCAAAAAATTACAAGGGTCCAAGAACAATTTTGCTTTGAAATTAATAAAAAATGAGGATGAAAATTTTTTGCCGATTGATTAGACCTGCCAAATTTAGGTTAGGTATTTCTCAAAATTTTGATAGGAAAATAGTAATTTTTGTAATTTTTTGATATGGCATGTTCTGTGATATTGTTTTGGTCGCTGAAACCTTTCAATTTTTTTTTAAAAAGATATTTTCTTTTTCTTTGCAATTTTGTAATAACTCCTAAGGTTTACCTACCTACCCGCAAAAAAAACAAAATCTAATCTGAAGACATGCATTTTTAGACAGGCTAATTAGGCATTCCAACGACCTGTCAAACAATATGTGCCAGTGGAAAATTCTTGTATATCTAAGGGGGTAGCGACATAGTCTTGCAACTTGGACGCTATTTTTATTCGAAGTAGTAGTCGCCAAGCCTGCCAATTTATGAAGAATGTACCTATAGGTAGGTTTTTTAAATATTATTTTTATTGTCTTTGACATAAAATATTTAAATGTAATCCATTATTCATGATTTTACGTAAAGTAGATAGAATACACCGTATGTTGCCACCCTTAGATTTACCAAACTTTCCCACTGGCAATTCATTTGTTTGGAATGCCTAATTATCTTTAAACCTCAAATCAATATTATTCGTTAGTTACAAGTCAAAGTGACATCTTATTTTTACCATCCAGGAAACATTTTGGAGTCACCATGTATATAATATGCAAAAGTATTCCAAATAAAACAATTTAATTACCCAAACCCCTTAAAATATTAGAAATACTTTGAAATCATCATTGAAAAAAATCAAGGCCTAATTATATCCTGTTTAAAAACAATTTTCGAAATAATCAACAGAATATTCATTAGGCAACTTTGGGAAAGTACGTTTTATAACAAACAACACTAAGCTCGATACCAGCACACAGTGATATTTTTCATTCCCCGAGCACCGTTGCCGCTTCTAGATTCATCCTAAATCGAACCAGGCTGACGCATTAGAATAAGAACAAATTTTCCCAGATCTAGGGAGAAATTTTAACATCGCGGCAACATCGCTTCTACATAACCTTTCGCAGCGGGCCTGTTATGCAGGTGGGCCGAGCTCCGGCGGACGCCACCGAACGCTGCCGATGGATTTAGACCGGTCTTGGAGTTTGGCTGTTTTGCTGTTCTGCTTCAATGTTGCTGCGCGTTCTATAGTAACAGTAGGTGCTACAAGCGGGTCCCTGTGTTTCTCTATCACATACGTTCAGCGTTCAGTGAGTGTACGAGTATATTATATACTTAACATAAAAATTGTGAGTTTTGTGAAAACGGTACGATATTTCGTGTTGAAATGTTACAGCTGGCAGCAATGCTGGTGTTTAACCCTCACTAAACATGTGGTTTGATCCTCAGGTAAGTCGAAGTATATTACTAATTTGATCCAAATAAAACTATGATTATTTACAAAAAAAATCCTTAGATTTTGGTTAATTGAAAACGCATTTTCTTCCCTAATTTAAAGATATAAACCGCTAATTTCGATGAAGCTTCGTTTGTTACTAACCAACAAAGACGCTACCATACGATTTCGGGCAAATCAACAGATTTTTCAGTGAAAAACTCGCAAATTTCGATCTCCACGTGACAACTGTCAAAATACGATCTAGTTACCTATCTCCGCATGTGTTTTGTTTTGAAACGAGCGGGATCACAGTATGCATTGAAATGATTTTATGCGCAGTCGCCCAGCCGAGCAGTGGACGTGTTATCGTCGTTTCTGGCTGGCGCGGAGGGTCGACTATTCGACTGGGCGATTGGATTGTATGCTCTTGTACATCCAAAGACGATCATAGAGGGCCGGCGCCAGTTTTAGATGATAGGATGTTGTTTACGACGCTTTTTTTTGTTTCGGACGAACGGTTGATGGGTTGATGCATCGCATCCAGTAATTTTTGAGATTGGATTGTTTTTGTGACTCACGGAGGTTGTTTTTTCGGATTGCGAGGGGTTTGTGGGATCGGATTTGGGATATTTTTAATGTTAAATGATTTTTGTTTTCGTAGGTTTTTTGTAAAATTGTAAATTTAATGATTTTGGGGGTCAAAATTTTGGAAATTACTTATGAAAAATCTAGTGGGTTAATCGTTTTGGGTGATCAATTCAATATCTACATTTAACAAACTATGATTTTGCCAATTTTTATAAAAAAAATTTATTTCAAAATTACTTATAGGAAAATAGCCTTGGCAAATTTTGAAAATTTGTCAAAAAACAGTCAGTCGATATATCAAAATTCTGATTTCATTAGTCTATTTTTACATCTTTGGACTAACAGTCTTCAGATTTAAAAAAAAATTTAAAACGCAACTAAACCAAAAATGGGTAGGTAGGTATATAAAGAAAATTATTTTGCAAAATTTTGAAAATTTATCAGTAAAACATCAATTTTTGTTGCTACTAATCAATTTTTTCGCAAGTGGTAGGTATTCAAGATTTTGCAAAGATTGATAGTTTTCTTATTGTGTAGAAATAATTTTTTTTTAAATTACTGGGATGATCAACATGTAAATTCTTTTACTATGGTTTTGCCAAATTTTATAATTTAATCTTATTTGATTCAAAATTTGGCAAATTTTGAAAATTCTAAGTTCTTATCAATTTCTATATATTTTAACGAACATTTTGCAAAGTTTTAAAAATGTCTTCCCTTTTAAAATTAAAAGAAAACGCAACTACATCAGAAATTATTATAAAAAATCATTTTTTTGAAAAATTTTGAAATTGTACAAAATATCTAATTTCTTTTGTTATTGATTATTGTTGTATCTAATATATTACAAAATTTGTATAATTTCATTTTTTTGTTTTAAAATTACAAGAAGTCAAATGTAACTTAAACAAAAATCTAAGATAAAAATAATTATTTTTTATTTGGTAAATTAAAATCATTACTTAAAATTTTTATATAAAAATAAATTTTCATTAAAAGGTAAAAATCATAAATAAAACTGTATTGAAAGTATTTAGACAATGCTTGACATTCTGTATTATACTCTTCACAGTTTAACGAGCCCCCCTAACCCCCTTTTTTAATCAGATTTTTCCTTTTATATAGCTGGATTTTCCTTAAGATTTCAAGCTGATATTTTTATTTCTGAGTTAGGATTTTTACATATTTAAACCCCTTTTAACCCCCCCCCCCCCCATTTTTATTCAGATTTTTTCAAAATTAATAGACTTCATCCCCCTATAAAGCTTGATTTTTACTAAAAATGTCATGTATCGGTTTTCGTTTCTGATTTCTGATTTTATTTTTAAATTCCAACCCCCCTTAACCCCTATTTGTATTAAGAGTTTTTCAAAATCAATAGGTAGACTTCATCCCCCTATAAAACTTGATTTTTATTAAAAATTTCATGTTGATATCGGTTTTCGTTTTTGATTTCTGTTTAAATTTTTAAATTTCAACCCCCCTTGACCCCAATTTTTATTAAGAGTTTTTCAAAATCAATACTTATATAACTTGATTTTTGCTAAAAATTTCATGTTGATACATATGTTTTTGATTTATGGTTTTTTTTAAATTTTTAGCCCCCCTTAACCCCCGATTTTTATTAATAGGCTTCGTTAGTTATAGAGCTTGTTTTTTGTGTCAGGCGTTTTTTTAATATTTTACCGCCCCTTAATATGTTTCATCTTATACAGCTTGATTTTCACTAAAAAGATTACGTTGATATCGCTTTTCGTTTTTAATTTATAATTTTTTTTATATTTCAACCCTCTTAACCCCCCATTTTTATTCATAGGCTTCGTCCCCTTATAGAGCTTGATTTTCCTGAAAATGTTGAGTTGATATCATTTTTCGTTTTTGACTTATTGTGCGGACAAAAATGTGGCATCGGACAGATTTTATTACAAAATATTTTTAATTTTTTTTTAATTTAAATTAACTTTAAACATTTTGGTTTCTCGAAAGAAAACCTCTTCACAGACTACTGTATGAAGAGTATAATAAGTAAGACAGTTTCTTTTTTGAATTTGTATTATAATTATAAATTTTTGTTACCAAAACCTCATTTTTTAGTTTCCGATTCTTTCAAAATTTATAAAACGAGCTCAAGTAAATACAAAATTTCAGATAACTCAAATGATGAATTCCCGAATTTAAATCTTGAAAAAGTTAAAAATATATTTTTTTACAGAATACAGGTACTTATGTTTTTAAAATTTGGATAGGTAATTTAAAAATAACAAATTTCTTTTTTTATGGGTATCTATTTATTTAAGATAAATTGAAGAAATGAAAATGACCTCGAACATAATGAATATGATTATCGATTAACATTTTTTTGCTTAATAAAAATTTGTAAAACCTTTCGTTTCTGAGATATAGGGTGTTTAAATGATTTTTTCTAAATAGTTGACAGTATCCAAAATTTCCATAGGCGTTCCCACGGGGCAAGTATATTATTGGAAATATCTTTATTAAGTTAAAACCGAGGTAAAAACTGTTTAATTTTGAATTATCCTACCATATCTAAAAGTTTGACGGTATGTATATTTATGGAATATTATGTATTATTTTGTGTTTTAAATCAGGAATAGTTTGTACATTGTTTCTGTAGACTTTAATTTTCATATATAGTCCCATGATCTTGATGGTCAATTATACGCCCAGGAAATTTTTGTCTCAATATTAAATGTCAATTATCTTTTGACGTTTTGAATGTCAAATATAAGAATTATAACCCTATAGAAGAAAAATTTGGACATTTAACGAACGGTAAAAAAATCAATCCTTGATACATAACAGTTGAAAAGAAATTTAAATATTTAATAAACACCGAAATACTTTAATATTCCATGAAAATATTCCACCGCGCATACCAGACTCAAAATACTTCAAATAATATCTACAGCAGAACGTTTGTGTGTTGCGGTTGTGGCTGCCTACTAACAAATTTTAATTTTGGAAATACGGCTACGCCGACGTCAGTTTCAAAATCCTGGATCTATTTTCGACACTAGTCGTTTGGCACGAATTTCTATTTAGAAATAGCCCCGCCGTTAGCGTGTGTCTCTAAGAAGTCGGTATTATTTTGGCGGGAAAACAAATACCGACGCTTTCAAAATCGTTTCGAGAAAATTTCGAAAGTTTCGTAGTAAATGTATTTGATTTTTAGAATTCGTAAACTTTCGCACTGTAAATAAATGATCTATAATATAGGTAGGTGGTATTGAAGAACTAATAATTTCAATTTGATCTATAAACTTCAAAATTTGAAAAAATATTAACAAAAACTACGGAAATTTATTTTTGAAAACCATATTTTGAAATTTCAACAAGGTGTCAAAGTTGACAATTTACATTGTTGCCTTTATTTCATCACCATTTTCAGACTAATTGATTTATAGTCTTCAAAATTTGAGAAAATATTAAGAAAATCTACATAAATTTATTTTTGAAGATCAGATTTTGAAATTTCAACAAATTTTGAAGTTACAAGGTGTCAAAGTTGAACTTGGATTTTTTAACAATTTACATTGTTGCCTTTATTTCATCACCATTTCCAAACTAATTGATTTATAACCTTTAAAATTTGAAAAATAATTAAGAACAACTATAGTAATTTATTTTTGAAGAGCACATTTTGAAATTTCATCAACTTTTTAAGCTACAGGGTGTCAAAGTTGAACTTGGATTTTTTAATAATTTACATTCTTGTCTTTATTTTATCACCATTTCCAAACTAATTGATCGATAGAGTTCAAAATTTGAGAAAATATTAACAAAAACGATAGAAATTAATTTTTGAAGACCACATTTTGAAATTTCAACAAACTTTGAAGTTACAGGGTGTCAAAGTTGAACTTGAATTTTTTAACAATTTACATTGTTGCCTTTATTTCATCACCATTTCCAAACTAATTGATTTATAACCTTTAAAATTTGAAAAATAATTAAGAACAACTATAGTAATTTATTTTTGAAGACCACATTTTGAAATTTCATCAACTTTTTAAGCTACAGGGTGTCAAAGTTGAACTTGGATTTTTTAATAATTTACATTCTTGTCTTTATTTTATCACCATTTCCAAACTAATTGATCGATAGAGTTCAAAATTTGAGAAAATATTAACAAAAACGATAGAAATTAATTTTTGAAGACCACATTTTGAAATTTCAACAAACTTTGAAGTTACAGGGTGTCAAAGTTTAACTTGAATTTTCTAACAATTTACATTGTTGCCTTTATTTCATCACCATTTCCAAACTAATTGATTTATAACCTTTAAAATTTGAAAAATAATTAAGAACAACTATAGTAATTTATTTTTGAAGTCCACACTTTGAAATTTCATCAACCTTTTAAGTTACAGGGTGTCAAAGTTGAACTTGGATTTTTTAATAA